TTTTTCTGAAATCTTCCCCAGATGTGTGGCTTGACACAAACCTGTTTCTGAGCTCTACAGGCAGTTCTTTTGACCTCAGGGCTTGGTTTTTGCTCTGATATGCATTATCAGCTGTTAGACCTTTTATTAAGATGTGTGTGCCCATTCAATTGAATTTGCCACAGGTTAACTTCACTCGAAGTGTAGTAACATCTACAAGCAATTTGAATGCTCCTGAGCTAAATTTAAACTGTCCCAGATAAGGGTATGAATACTTATGCAATGGAATCATTTAAGTTTTTTATTTTTAATGCATTTGCAAAGATGTTAAAAACCTGTTTTTTTGCTTTACTATTATGGTGTATGGAGTGTAGATTGATGTGGGAAAAAAGTAATTTAAAGCAGTTTAGCATAAGGCAGCAACTTAACAAAATGTGAAAAAAATGAAGGGGTATGCATATTTCCGCAAGGCACTGTATATTCAGTGATGCCTGGTTACTTAATTTCTGAGTGACTTATACAACTGCAATTTATATGATTTTATCTCAATTTAACATTCTTTCTAGCTGACATTTGAAGTGGTACTCTGTTTGTTACAAAACAGGCAAATTTCACAAAATTGCTGTGCATCAGATCTCAGGGACAATCAGTGTCTACCTTAATATTTGGGCATTTCTCCTTAAGTTTGCGAGCAACGCCGGTAATAGTGCCACCTGTGCCAGCTCCTGCCACCAGCATATCCACTTTACCTGTGGTGAGTTGAGAGTTAAAAGAATAGTTCACCCAAAAATAAAAATGTACTAAACATCTCTTCACCCTCAAGCCATCCAAGATGTAGAGGAGTTTGGTTCTTCAAGGGAACAGATTTGGAGAAATTTAGGATTACTTGCTCACCAGTGGATCCTCTGCGATGAATGCGTGAATGAGTAACATTTTTACAACATTTGTAAATGTAAAAAAAGTGCATTGGTTAACATTTTAATAAGTTTAAACAACCGGTTTAATGGCATTTGTAAGCATTCAAATGCTCATTAATAAATAAGCTGTTTATCAGTGTATAACTTAAATCATTTGTATTGTATTTGTGCGTGATCATATATGAATTGAAAGTTTATTTCAATTTAAATTTTATATGAATTAAGGATTTGTTAATCATTGTGAAATGATCCCATACTTGTAGCTTAATAAATATATATTAACTAATCTGTTAAACATTATATAATTATCTGATATTATATAACTGATCTGTTAGACATTATATAATGTTTGTTAATGATTATTAATTTATTACAACCCTGCAAACATGTCCGTGCGGGGCCCATGCTGGCTTTTTGCGGGCACAGTGGGCTAGATCCAACCGACAAACAAATTTCTAAACAGGCCCAGTGTGGGCTTGCCCAGGCGAGGGCCACAGCTTTGGGCTCACCGTTGGCTTTCTGTGAGCAGGCCACACTATGGGACTGCCCACATTAATCCAATGATGGCCCAGTGTGGGCCAGCCCGTTCAGGCCCAGAGCAACTTTTGTACCTTTAGGCCCATGCAGGTTTTGTGTAGGCAGCCCTGTAATGCAACTAGGAGAATACAAACAATATTGACTGGCCATTCTTAAGCCACTCAATTGAACTGGAATGGCTCAAACCAAAAGAGGCCTTTTCAGAACCTGTTGTTTCATATAGGCCAGGGATCCTCAAATCTGGCTCACAAGATCCACTTTCCTGCAGAGTTTAGTTCTAACCTGAATCATTCACACACATCAACTTTCACATGACGAAATCCTACAATCTTACATTGCTTTGTTTGCTTTCTTTTGTTTGTTGTGTATTTAAATTTTTGGCTATGTATAGCTGTATTAACCTGAATTGAATGTTTTCTGTGGGCAGTTTTCTTCCTTACCACTAGGGGTGCTAGGGTGTTTTACGTTTCCTTAAGTAAAGCCAGGTGGGTAGAGGGAGTTAGCAATAACAAGCAGCAGTAGCTAGCATGGCTCACCTTCTGAAAACATTGTGCTGTGTCCTGGTTGGGAAATGTGTCATTTCAATATTAACCTGAATTTAATTTATATTTTGTATAAATCTATTGATTTGAAATCCCTTTGACTACTGTACATTTTTGACAATATAGACCAGGGGTGCCCAACCCTGTTCCAGGAGATCTACCTTCCTGCAGAGTTCAGCTCCAACCCTGATCGAACGCAACTGAACCAGCTAATTAGGATCTGAAGAAGCACTTGATAATTACAGACAGGTGTGTTTGATCAGGGCTGGAACTGAACTCTGCAGGAAGGTAGATCTCCAGGACCAGGGTTGGGCACTCCTGTTGTAGATTAATAGTGCGGGCCCTGTGTGGTTGCTGATGTTTTTTGCAGAGATGTTACATGTATGTATGGCCTATGTTTGGATTGATGCTAAGAGTTTAAGACAGTGTATTTGTATGCATTTTAGAAGGACTCTTTATTGGTGAGGTTACCACATCATGGTCCAGTTTGTGGATTTGGATTTATGGAAATATATTTTTTGGAAATATGGATTTAAAGTTCTTTTTGACGTGAGACCATAGTCTGGACTATTTATGACTGTTCCTGGTTAGGAAGAGTCTGGTGTTTGAGAGCCGTGGCGTGTTTTCATTACAAGAGGTTGGATTATTCATTTGCTATCAGCCAACTTCAGCTATGGACAGTGTTTGGACATTGATGTACTACAGATAAGGCTTTCACACACATCAACTTTCACATGACGAAATCCTACAATCTTACATTGCTTTGTTTGCTTTCTTTTGTTTGTTGTGTATTTAAATTTTTGGCTATGTATAGCTGTATTAACCTGAATTGAATGTTTTCTATTTTGTATTTAATAAATCCATTGATTTGAAATCCCTTTGACTACTGTACATTTTTGACAATATAGACCAGGGGTGCCCAACCCTGTTCCAGGAGATCTACCTTCCTGCAGAGTTCAGCTCCAACCCTGATCGAACGCAACTGAACCAGCTAATTAGGATCTGAAGAAGCACTTGATAATTACAGACAGGTGTGTTTGATCAGGGCTGGAACTGAACTCTGCAGGAAGGTAGATCTCCAGGACCAGGGTTGGGCACTCCTGTTGTAGATTAATAGTGCGGGCCCTGTGTGGGCCTACTGAGGGCTAAGTGAGGGCTGCCCATGCAGGGCCAGCGCTAAGGGGCCAATGTTTTGCCAATGAGCACAATCTCAGAGGCCCTGAGCTGGCAGCCCGCTGGGGGCCCTTGGGCTAGCCCTAAGTGGGCCCGTAAAGGGCCAGTGCAGGCTTGTTTGCAGGAAAAGTATTAACCAAACCATCATTAAGATTTGCTTTTAATATTTAACATTGCTTTTGGCTAGATAGAGTCCTCTATCCATAATATGGCTTTCTCCAGTGAAATATTTATCTCAAGAATCAGGAGAGCACAGATCAAGCACCGTTTCAAGCGAAAATAGGCCAAAACAGTTTTAAACAAATATCTGGGTGGATTTTGATGTGAGAGGACTATTTCACTGGAGGAAGCGTTATTATGGATTATGGACTTGTATTTTAACTGGAAGCAATGGTTTAAAGTTAAAATGCCTTGATAAATTTGTATTCCTTCTTTTCACTTCACAAAACTTTACTTTATGGACTGGAGTCATGTGTATTATTGTATTGTTTTAATTAGATGTTTGAACTCTCATTCTGACGGCACCCATTCACTGCAGAGGATCTATTGGGGAGCATGTGACGTAATGCTAAATTTCTCCCAATCTGTTCCCATGAAGAAAAACTCTATCTTAGATGGCCTGAGGGTAAGTGCATTTTCAGCCAATTTAAATTTTTGGGTCAACTATTCCTTTAATGTTACTGACAACAAAAAGCCTTCAAGCTGGAGCAAAAGGAAGCTATGCTTTGATGATAAAAAGCAGAAAAAGATATGACAATAAAGACAGAGAGAAAGTGAGAGAAACAACACAATTACTACCATCACACTGCTCCAGAATCTCCTCAGCAGTGGTGTCATAATGAGCCAGGGGGTTGCTGGGATTGCGGTACTGGTCCAGGATGTGCGAGTTAGGAATCTCATTCTTCAAGCGCCAAGCCACACCCACATGGGACTCAGGGGAGTCAAACCGTGCACTGGTGGGAGTTCGGACAATCTCAGCACCCAAAGCTCTCAAGACATCAACCTATGAAGAGACTCTTGTTTAACCTTCTTGATGGGTTAACAAATCCCATTTGATCTAACTGGAATGAATCTTACCTTTTCCATGCTCATTTTCTCAGGCATAACAATTATGCAGCGATAACCCTTCACTGCTGCAGCCAATGCAAGACCAATACCTGCATAGAGTGCACATAACTTAACCCTTTAGACCTAAATGTTTTTCCACTGGGCAAAAATTATTTTACCCACTTGATATTTGCTTTCCTCCATTGTAAAAATGACCACTACAATGCACTTTTCTAACCATATTTAAGAACTGGATTTTAAACATATGCAGTATGTGAACTAGTGTTGAAGATTTTAAGAACACACACACTGTAACAACGAGCAATGTAATAAGAATGTAGAAAACAGGTAAGACGAAGTCTCAACAAAATCAGAGTCCTGTATTATTACCTGTATTTCCAGAGGTGGGCTCTATAATGGTGTCTCCAGGTTTGAGGATGCCTTCCCTTTCTGCGTCCTCCACCATACGCAGACTGATACGGTCCTTCACACTACCACCAGCATTAAAGAACTCACACTTGACCACTGCAGACACACATACAAACAAAACTGACTGTTACGTAACTTGAGGCAATTTATATTAATGCCTTTCACCTATTTCATAGATTTGTATATAACATTAAAGGACTCAAGGTCAATACTTGCTTTGTCTTTCAAAATTTTTTTTGTCTTTCAAAGATTTTTTTTTTGTTGTCTTTTACGGAAGTTTCTTATTTGTAACACACTTTCTGTGGTAAAACGATATTGACTTTTTAAGTAACTGATTTAGAATTGTTCAAAAGTAGAAATATGAATGAATCACTTACAAAGTTCACACTTTAGTCCAAAAGTCTTCGAGATCTTGTTTATGCGGACCAGTGGTGTGTCTCCAATCCTGTCCAGGATGTTGGGCAAAATCTTCTCAGCTTTTGTCCTGCAATGGTTAAAGGAAGAAAAAATAAACAATCATAAAAGGATATTGTGGGGACAGAAAGCTATAGTTACAATTATAGTTATATAGTTAGAAAAGTCATTTTGTGACAGTGTAAATTAAAAATAATATATAGGAATTGATTGGATAATTTGATGGTTTTTGTTTGTTATTGCTGCGTAGTCATGAGAGTGACACCTTTTGTCCCACCCTCACAGCAGTGAATACATTATCAGAGAAGAGAAGAAATGTTGTTGCAAGACGAAAGGGAAGTTATTTTGTTTAAAGATTACAAGGCACATGATTTTTTAAATAAAGATATGCACATAGTATAAATAATTTATAATTAACACTGCAATATTCCAAAAAATATCTTCAAATATATTAACTAATATTCCTATTTTCATAAAAATAAGAATTGTCTATTTTTATTTCATGGTGACTTTACCATCTAGAACCTGTGAATATACAGGATCAGACTGTCACTAAACAAAATAAAATATTTTTTAAAACCACTATGTTTAAAATAATGATACAATTCTATATAACATTTAAAAATAATGAAAGTCATGTGCACTTATGAATGCATACACAAAAATGCATCTGCTTAACTGTGTGAACATTCTAAAACCTAAAAAGGAAATATTCCTTTTGTTAAATTAATGTTATATATCTTCTATATATTTTTTCTGTAACAAATATATTGTTGATTGAATACAGCAAAGTCCATTACAGCTAATCAATGATTGTGAAACATGTTTATCTTGCTGATAAGTTTCCAAATAAGGAAATATTCCTGAGAAAGACACAGAAATGCTTTTTTGGTAGGCCCAGCTCTCTAAGCATGCGTCCGTGTCACTTGATTTAAAATATCTTGTGATTTTAGGTCAGAAGTGCAAAGTGAGAGATCATTAAGCATTATCACCTGGGGAAGGGTTTGTGAGGGGAATTTTCAAGAGACATTCCTGGTTTCCAGGTACATCTGCTTGGCAGGTCAGGACGAATCCATTTTGGGTCAGTGGCCCCAGTTTCTCTATTCAGCTGCAGGGGTCTGTCTACATTATCTGAAACCAACTTCTCAACACCATTCCTGCCAGCGGTCTTCTTGTCATCAAAAGGGCAGGCAGGGCTGTCGTTCTCTTTGTTGGATGGAACTGAAGGCATGATTCCTCTATAGTTCTCTGTAAAGTGTGAGAATCTGTTCACAACACAACCTGCATAGACAGCCTGTGTCAAAAGAGTCAAATCACATGTCTGTTCTGCACATTCTAAAGTTGGCCCTACCACAAAAAATAAATACAATTTAAAAAATAAAATAAATAAATGATTTGTTATTTCATCCATGTTATTCTGTTTTCTAATAAATAGCCTAAGCTTATTATGACACCACAATACTACAGTCATGGCCAAAAGTTTTGGCAGTGACATAAATTTTGTGTTTTGCAAAGTTCGCTGCTTAAGGTGTTCATTCACATTGTTTCTAGATTATTGTGTATGTGATCATTCTAAATAATTGCTAAAAGCTTCATTGGCCAAAAAATGAACTTTTCACAAAAAAGCAAATTTCACTGTTTTTTGATCCTGACACAAAATGACCAGCTAACATTAATTGACTAAACATATCAGCAGCACATGTGAAAGTGTGAATGAGTACTAGTCAGGTGAAATCACTATCATACTAATTAGATTGTAAGAGCAGACTGATTGCTATAAAAGGAGGGAAGAAGCGCTTCCAATCATTGTGTTCTTGGTAGCATGCCAACAGTGAAGCATCCTGAGACCATCCATGTGTGGAGTTGCTTTTCAACCAAGGGAGTGGGCTCTCTCATAATTCTGCCCAAAAGCACTGCCAGGAATAAAGAATTGTATCAAAACGTCCTGCAAGGGCGACTTCTTCTGACGATCCATGAGCAATTTGGTGGTGATCCGTGCATTTTCCAGCATGATGGAGCACTGTCACAAAGCAAGAGTGATAAAGAAGTGGCTCGAAGATCATTACATTGAAATTTTGGATCTGTGGCCAGGCAACTCCCCAGATCTCAATCCCATAGAGAACCTGTGGTCAGTCCTCAAAAGGCGAGTGGACAAGCAGAAGCCCACAAATTGTGATCAACTCTGAGAACTAATAAGGCAAGAATGGATCGCCATCAGTCAGGATTTGGCCCAGAAGCTAATATCCATCATGCCAGAGTGAACTGCGGAGGTTATGAAGAACAAGGGTCAACACTGTAAATATTGACTCATTATATATATTTTTTTGCCAATAAAAGCCTTTTAAAACTTATGATATGCTTATAGTATACCGTATAGTACTATATTATAGTATTACCGTAGAAACATATGGAAAAATAATCTACAAATCCTGAAGCAGCAAACTGAAAAAAAAACTATTTATGTCACTGCCAAAACTTTTGGCCATGACTGTATATACAAGTTAAATGTTTTCCTTGGAGTCAGGAACAAAAAAGCAAATTACAAGAAATAGCATGAATAAATCAGGTTTGTAGGCGTTCCGAATCAGATACAGAAATTGAATAATTAATTAAATTTAAAATACTGCATTTTTTTATTTTATTAATATTTATGGCAGACAGCAGTTGGTAAATTACACTGTGGTCACTTTAAGACAATGCATGAATCCAAAATTATTATAGAGCTACACATCCAATTTTTTTCTCAACGGTTGTATCTTTACTTGAAACATAATCGACTGTTTTTGTGTATACTTGTATAGACAGGTATTTTGACACAATTTTGTCCATTCAAGTGCAAGACGACATGAAATATAACTCAATTCAGGGCTCACATTATAGGATATAGCATCACCCATTTAGTCAGATGTCCACAGACTATGAAGCTGGAATACTTCCAGACTGCTGTCTTTATACTCGTTCCAAAAGCAACTATGACTAAAAGATCAAAGCCCATAATGATAAAGTGTAAAATCCACAGAATTAACAAGAAAGCAATTGATTGCTGCAGTGAAGATATACTTTTAGGGCAACCCAAAAGTTACATTTTTCATTGGCTTTTGGATTATTGTAGAAAATAAGCTCTGTGACTAACAAAGGTTTATTATTCTTACACATTTCATTCATCAAGATAATCTTCACAAATGAACAACTTTTATATATTTTGAAAACTTAGGCTATAGTCACATGACTTCAACATCACTACCATTAAGTTCATCAGCTCTTTCATTCTTTATTCAAAAACATTTTCCCTGAATGTCTGAGTTAGAATAGATTTGATTATTAACACAATTAGACTGTAAAATTGAGTAGATGATGAGTCACATTTAATGTTTAGTTGTAGTTCCATTTAGACCAGGGGTGTCAAACTCCGTTCCTGGAGGGCCAGAGCCCTGCAGAGTTTAGGTTCAACCCTAATTAAACACACCTGATCCAACTAATCAAGTCCTTTAGACTTATTTGAAAACTACATGGTATGTGTGTTGGAGCAGGGTTGGAACAAAACTCTGCAGGGCTCCGGCCCTCCAGGAATTGAGTTTGACACCCCTGATTTAGACAGTTGTTAGCAACTGCCTTTTTAAGACAAGTAACAAAAATTGTTTTTTTTTAAAATCCCAAGGATGTAGAATAAAATGTAAAAATATTTTGAACTTGTGTTAAACACAGACCTCATTACAGGCATTTAACTTAAATCAAATTTAAAAACCCGCTGAATTCAGGACAATGGAAGCCGAAGTGCTAAAAATGCTTCTTCAAGGTCTGCAGCACTCTTATCTCCCTTCAACATCACCACAAAGACATTGGAAGCCATCAGGTTAATTCTGGAGTATGAGAACCATTAATAGATAACCTAAGAAGCCAAGCATAAAACACACCAGCTGTTAAAACTATGAGCCTCAACAACATAAGCATGCTTGACTGCTTTAATGTGAATTGACCACAATACAATGCAAGTTCAGATGGTCTTTGTGTATCTAGAAATAAAAAGAAAATGGCAGTGATTTTCAGTTCCTGTGTATTTGATCAGTTTTAGGCACTTAAGCCACACTTCTGGCATTTTCATTGCATTAAATATCAAAATATTACCTAAAAGCAAATGATACCAGACAGACAGACAGACGGACACTACTGTACCAGTGGTGACTCTTTAGGACCAGGGTTGCCAGATCCGCATTACCCCCACTTTTGACAGGACACGCATTTAAATGTCTTTAGTCTTCTGCCAGTCTAAACAAGTAAACTTTATACTATGTTTTAATGGAAATATGACTCTGGTGCGGTTATGAATACAACATTTACGTGACTGCAAAATTCAAATATTATATATTGACGTGACTTTGAGACGCACACCTGGCAACCCAGCCTAGGACGCAAGAAGTATGGGGAAGTTTAAAGTGGATCTATGTGCTCTAAGAAACTCTTTTAACTAAAAACTTTCATTCACAACCTATCCAGGCAGAGTTTCCTGCATATCGTTTTTCCGCAAAACACTTATAGGACTTACAGAACCATTCATTAAATATCAGAAACATTCTATAATCTGTACGAGCACGAGGCAACCATCCATGTAACGTTACCTGCAAATCACAAACCTCGTGCTCTTTTAGACTTTTGTTAATGTGATTATGTCAGTCAGTCATCAAACTGTCTCTTTTTTTTAATTCGATTTAAATTAATGCGGCAACCATCCATGTAACGTTACCTGCAAATCACAAACCTCGTGCTCTTTTAGACTTTTGTTAATGTGATTGTCAGTCAGTCATCAAACTGTCTCTTTTTTTTAATTCGATTTAAATGAATGCAGTTAATTCCATCGGTTTTGATGGAAATGACGTTTAGTTTTACTTTTTTCCCCCGCAGTTATGATTAAATCTTTCTCTGTTCTGCTAGGTGCATGAAAGGATTTTAATGATTACAAACTTTTAAAAAAAAGTAGTAATTTTGCAAATAAACATTTCAACATGTGCAAAGCAGCAAAATATTTTTATATAATAAATACAAATATATTTGTTTGTCTCAGATATATTGCTGATCGCATAATGCAACGTCCATTACAGACATTTCGGGTTCAACGATTATAAAACACATTTACCTTGCTGATAAGCGCCGATCGTCCACTTTAACAGCTGTGCATACAGAAGTACCTGCGTCACGTTATTTATATGAACGGGCCACGGGGTTCATCACTTATATGGGAAATGGCCATGTGTTGGCGCAAAACCTGATTGGCTGGAATGAGGGCGTCTGTCGTTCGCCCTCCTATCAGAAGTTGGCAAAATTTTTTTTTGTTTTGTAAAAACATGTCTGAAACATTTGGCATACAACTGAAAATAGCTGAAATGTAATATATCTTTTATGGCTAATTTCTCTTACAAAATTTTTTTTTTTTTCATTCAAATGTCATGCTTCCTAGCCATTGTCACAATGGATAAATAAGGTGTATGCACTGGAAATAATCCGATTTTATGATTTTTTTAGATAAAACAATGATAAAAACTGTTTTCCAGTACAGTTGTATTTTTTAGTTTGTATCTTTAACTGTACCACTGCAAGATTGCCTCTTATAGTAATATCCTTACTCATACTACGAAGGCACACATAATTCCTGATCTTTTTGTAGTGATATAAATCTTTATCTGCTTCCAAACTGATACCACTGTTTTATGAGCAATACATAACCAATGAATAGAAATGCAGTGTGACACACCCCTACAACACTCGCTGAAAGCCTGCAGGACTGATTCATCATGACTAAGATTTTAATAACCCCACACATAAACCTGTGGCACAGACAATTTATAAAAATGCACTTTTATTGAGAAACAAAAATCTTTCAAATGTACACTTAAAAAAAGTAAATAAACAAAGTGACAAACTAAAGGGTTTCAAGCAAGTAACGACGGCATCTGATGTCTCACACAAATGCTGGTCATTGGTTGATGACACTAAGCAACAAAACATAGGCAGCAAAACTGTGTCACGGCTCAAAATCTTCCAGAACGTTCACGATCTCTTGATCTTCTCCTCTCACGTTCACGACCTCCACGGTTGTGGTCACGAGAGCGTCTTTCACGAGATCTTGACCGAGAACGATGTCTAATGGAAAGATAATTTCCGTTACAACAACAAAAATGCCAACTTTAATGAAAGGCACAAGACTGGCCTTTGATGAAGAAGATTTTCGGTACCTTTTTCTATGACGTCCATAACGCTCTCTCCTCAGCTCTCGAGAAATGGGTTTCAAGTGCATGAAATTACAGAAACCGCCTCTAGTGCACTCCCTGTGGTGAGACGAGATGGTAAGATGAAAAAAAAAGTGGCGTCACTGCTTTTCTGAAGATAGTCAGTTCACTTTAGAAATACATTAATATATACAGTATCTCACAGAAGTGAGTACACCCCTCACATTTTTGTAAATATTTTATTATATCTTTTCATGTGACAACACTGAAGAAATGACACTTTGCTACAATGTAAAGTAGTGAGTGTACAGCTTGTATAACAGTGTAAATTTGCTGTCCCCTCAAAATAACTCAACACACAGCTATTAATGTCTAAACCGCTGGTCACAAAAGTGAGTACACCCCTAAGTGAAAATGTCCAAATTGGGCCCAATTAGCCATTTTCTCTCCCCGGTGTCGTGACTCAGTGTTACAAGGTCTCAGGTGTGAATGGAGAGCAGGTGTGTTAAATTTGGTGTTATCACTCTCACTCTCTCATACTGGTCACTGGAAGTTCAACATGGCACCTCATGGCAAAGAACACTCTGAGGATCTGAAAAAAAGAATTGTTGCTCTACATAAAGATGGCGAAGGCTATAAGAAGATTGCCAAGACTATATCGTATCGACCGAAATTAAGAAATATATCGTGATATCAATTTTGGCCATATCGTCCAGCCCTAGTGGCCACACAAAATATCGACACTTTGGGCCCAATTTGGACATTTTCACTTAGGGGTGTACTCACTTTTGTGGCCAGCGGTTTAGACATTAATGGCTGTGTGTTGAGTTATTTTGAGGGGACAGCAAATTTACACTGTTATACAAGCTGTACACTCACTACTTTACATTGTAGCAAAGTGTCATTTCTTCAGTGTTGTCACATGAAAAGATATAATAAAATACTTACAAAAATGTGAGGGGTGTACTCACTTCTGTGAGATACTGTATATTACTATGATATAAACTATATTAATATAACCCCACTCTCGTTTAAAAAACAAATAGTGTGGCAACAATACAATGTTTTGTATATGAAAACTTTAGACACAAACAATGTCTTGAACAGTTTCCAATCAGTCATTTACTTAAAAAGTGACATATTATATATTTAAAATGTCATTGTTTCTCAATTAAATAACAATGAATGAAGTGTGAGACACTGACCCCATTTCATACTGTCTACAGCAGGCTTCTCTGAAGTCCGTAACTGGTGAGAGCTCTGAATGTATTGGTTGGCCATTACACCAGCGATTATTTAAGTCCAATACAGTCTTCTCAGCATCCTCTTCCCTCCAAAACTGTTCAGACAATAAAACAAAGTAAACGGTTACACATTTCCAAGCATAATTCTCTAATGCAGGCCGTTATAGCTACATTGTTTGAAATACGGTTAATTTCATAAACCTGTCTGTTCAATCAAGCAAAAGCACAAAAAAAAAAAACCACACTCAAATTTTACAGTACCTTCACATAAACATTTCCGACCAAATGATCACCAAGGTTATCGCACAAATTCATCTCCTCAACCTCTCCATACTTCTCCATTTCTGTGAAGACTCCCTGTTAATAAATCAGCATTGCAAAATGTAGAAGTAACTACTTCAAAGGAATAGTGCCAAAAAAAATAAAAAATAAAAAAAATTATATA